TAAAAATAACACTAAGTTGGGGACCAAGCTTTCTTTGCAAATAGAAAATTAAAATATTACTTTCCCAATGTTACCTGATTGCCATTAAAGAAATAACTTGGTTTTGGGGCGAGGGGCAGATACTAACTTTCCCTACATGAATTTCTTTGGCTCTTAAGAAAAAGAATTGTTAAAAGTAATTGCATAATTGTTATGTTAATTGAAAAGTAGAAATTACCTGTTTAGATGTAATGTTTGTATTATTAAAATTTTCATGAAATGCCAAAAAAAGAACATTAGTAGAAAAATTTGTGAAATTTGAGTAAAGTTTAGAGTTTAGTTAATAATGTGCAAATGTTGGTTTCTTGATTTTAACAACGTACCATGGTCCATGTAAGATGTTAACAATAGGAGAAACTGGGTGAAGGGCATATGGGAACTCTATATTATCTGCAACTTTTCTTTAAATCTAAAAGTATTTCAAAATCAAAAGTTTCTTTAAAAAAATAAATGAATAAAAAGGAAAGTTTGACAGTAAAGCCAATAGGAACATTCAAGAAACACAAGAACATCAGTACAATTTGGACCTTGTGGCCAAGTTTGACTGCTGAGAGGATCCCTCCCCACTTGAGGGATTCTCATTAATTATCTGATTATCCACAAAACAGCAGAGGTTTAGTAAGCATTACTCTAGCGTGGTAGTTCTCAAACTTTGTACGTATCAAAATCACCCGGAAACTGTTGAAGACTACTGGGATCTGGCCTCATTGAAGTAGACTAGCTCCTGGACTTCCGTATTTTTACAAAGTTCCCTGGTGACCTTGATACATACCCAAGCCTGAGAATCACTGTTCTAGCACTTTTCTATTAATATGACTACTAAAGTGATCATTCATCATTCAACAGCCATTTATTGAGCAACTATTCTATGCTAGCCCTTTGTTAGTACTAAGTGTACAGTAGAAGACACAGAGGCAAAGACCATGTCCTCATGGAGCTCGCATTCTAATATGCAAATAAATATACACTGACTGAGTCTCTCCTTGTATTTCCTGGTTACAAGTCCCCAAAGAGAAAACCTGATTGGCCTCGCTAGTCACCACCATCTGTTTTGGGAGGCAGAACTTTTCCTAAAAGGCCATCTCATAACTTATTCAGTGTAATTGTTGGCTGTCTGTAGGTCAGGGTTCCCCTCCTGTCCAGTCAGCTGTGACTGAGTGTCTGTGGCACATAACATGATCCTTATATGGTTTGCTCCCTCAGCAAAATGGATTAGGTTAGGAAGGGGCAATGGGAGGCCCCCCCCATGACCTACCAATGTAGTTGCCATCCAAATACAGCAGCTTGGGAACCAAGCTTTCCCAGGGTAGTCTGGAGTCAAAAAGATAAAGCTGCAGTAGCCAATGCAGGTAGAGTATTCCTAACCTGAAAATCTGAAATTCAAAATGCTCCAAAATCCAAAACTTTTTGAGTACCAATATTACACTCAAAGGAAATGCTCATTGGAGGATTTTGGATTTCAAATTTGGGGATTAGAGATACTCAACCAGTAATATTCCAGAATCCAAAAAAATGTAAAATCCAAAACACTTAGGGTCCCAAGCATTTAAGATAAGGAATACTCAACCTATATGATAAAAATGACCCCTCCATCATGGACCCCTTATTTATGAGATTGGGAATTAATGGAACCCAGAATAGACACCCAAAATTGAATTTTAGATGCTCCTTCCAGAAAAATAGATCGCTTTGGGTTTGATTTTTTTAGCCTGTAGATATTTGCTTTTGCTAGACTTTGCTTTTCTGCTGCTTGTAATGTTTCAAAAATACCAACTTGCCTGAAGCAGATTTCTACTCCAATTGAGACTGACTTGGACAATAATCTCCCATGTGTTCCCTCCATCATGTTGTATTTACATTAGCTTTGGCAACATCACTGAGATTTTATTCTTTGCCCTCTATTGCAACATATCCCCTGACTAAAATAGGAAAACAACTGACACTAGGAAAGCTGGGGCAATGGTTACCACATTTTTTCAATCCCAAACCTGGAGGACCCTGTACCTCACCTACCAATTACCACTAAAGAAATAGCACAGGTTTTTTTTAAATTTATTTTTAAAATATATTTAATCTCTAATCACAGATTTTGATGAAGCACAAATAGTAGCCACATAGGTAACTTATTAACTGATTCTGAGAAAGAACAAATTTGAAGCTATTCATTACACACATTCCATTAAAATCAACAAATATTACTACCATGTTCCCAGTACTGAACCAAGAACTAGGGATATTTAAAGAGGAAAAGCGGCCAGGCGCGGTGGCTCACGCCTGTAATCCTAGCACTCTGGGAGGCTGAGGTGGGTGGATCGCTCAAGGTCAGGAGTTTGAGACCAACCTGAGCAAGAGCGAGACCCCGTCTCTACTAAAAATAGAAAAAAATTATCTGGACAGCTAAAACTATATATATAGAAAAAATTAACCGGGCATGGTGGCGCATGTCTGTAGTCCCAGCTACTCGGGAGGCTGAGGCAGGAGGATTGCTTGAGCCCAGGAGTTTGAGGTTGCTGTGAGCTAGGCTGACGCCACGGCACTCACTCTAGCCCGGGCAACAAAGTGAAACTCTGTCTCAAAAATAAATAAATAAATAAAGAGGAAAAGCCATGATCCTCACCCTGAATAAACAGATCATAAATGGTGGGATACAGGCCTGTGATGATGTTGATGATGCTATAGAAATGAAGGAACTGTTTCAGGAACTCAGCATGAGGAAAGAGTCATTCTGAACTTGAGGATAAATAAGTGACATTTGAGATGAGCCCTAAAGGACACTTAAAATTCTAAGTGTAAAATGTAAGGAAGGGCATCCCAGAAGTAGGGATCAGCAGGAATAAAGTTGAGAAAGTAAAAAAGCAAATGGCCTGCGTAGGGAATGGCAAGAAGCCACTGCGAGGCTAAAACATACTGTACAGCTCTAAGAAAGGTCTGGACTCGCTCACGGACCACCGTAGATCCACAGCCTGCGTTCTGCAAGCCACAGCTAGTGTCAGATGTCGGGGAAACAACTGGCCCAAAAATTTTGACCACTGAACATAGGAACAGCTCATGAAACCATCGTGAAGAGCATTATAATTGCCAAGCAGAACAAGAACATTATCATCAAATCTAGTTCTCATATTTATTCCCTCACATTAAAGTTATTAATTTATTGAATTACCTGTCTATTAGTCTCGTGAATTTTAGGAACACAGAGCCAGCTCCACTGCAGACCCTGTCCTTGAGGAGCCCAATAACTAGAGATTTCATTTATGTATTTATGTATTTATTAGGGTGCCTAAAAACCTAATATTGGCTTATTGACAGCAAAGAAAGATTTTTTGTTTATTTATTTATTTATTTATTTATTTATTTAAGACAGGGTCTGGCTCTGTTGCCCAGGCTAGAATGGAGTGGCATCATCATAGCTCACTGCAACCTCCAACTCCTGGACTCAAGTGATCTTCCTGTCTCAGCCTCTGGAGTAGTTGGGACTACAAGCGCCACCACCTCCGGCTAATTTTTCTATTCTTTTGTAGAGACAAGATCTTGCTCTTGCTCAGGCTGGTCTTGAACTCTTGGCTTCATGCAACCTTCTTGCCTTGGCCTCCCGAAGTGCTAGGATTACAGGTGTGAGCGACCACACCTGGCCGAATTTTTATTTTAAAAATTTAAATAATCTTTTATTATTACAGAAGCAGTCCATGAGCATTATAGAATATAGAACCAGCCAAAACAAAAAATAAAGCATCTCTGTCACTACCCAGAGATCACCACTGTAACCCTTGGTTCATATCCGCCCACATCTTCATATTCACACATATGTATTAATATGTATTTTGTTAATGTTTTCCAGATTGTCTCGGACACATCCAGCTTTTTTTTCCAGTCAATAATTTCTACTTTTCCATGTGAATAACTACTTTTCTTCTAACAGTACATACTCAAATTTCTTCAACTGAGCTAAAAATATCCTTTACGGCTTATTTCTCCAAATCAGCCCCCAACTCAAGACCTCACATTGCATCCCCTGGTTACATCCTTCATGTCACTTACATCCAGCACAGTACCTTTCATAGGATTCTCACTTGATGCAAAGAACTGACCAGCTGTCCTAAGGCCCACCTCTTGTATCTGCCGGGTTTCCTGCGGTGTCAGTTTACTTGTTCCTCTATTTTCCGTATTTCCCATAAACTGGAAGTTCGACATAAAGATGCCTTAGAGGCAAGTTAACCATTTTGGGCTAGAATACTTCATGGGTGATAACAGGTACTGCACGTCGCATCACATCAGAATACACATAATATCTGGTTGACTCACCATTAGTGATTATCAAATTGACTACTGGGCAATGGCAGTAACTGGGGACTTCAGAGGGAGCACATGACAGGGGCAAAAGGAGCAACGGAGTAGGATAAGTATAAATAAAACTTGGCCACTTAAAGGAGGCGGGATGGGGAACCGAGCAGCAGAGGCGGTGGGACAAGAAAGAAATCCAACTGTGCTTCCCGCACTGACATCGCTCTGATTGTGACCAATCCTCTGATCTTGTAAACTGCATACCAAAAAAGAACTTGGTAGGTAATCTTTGGTACAGCTGTTTCAAAAAGGGAACGTTTCCGCTTATAAAATTTAGCTGAGCGGATGAGGTATTCAGCCCACAGAGAGCACTATTACCTTTAACTGTACAATCTGGGACAAGACCTACAAACCCAGAAAATGAGGAGCTTGGTGTGTTCTGCATTCGCTCCTATTCTTTTTAACACCAGCCCTTTCCCTGCCTCTGGCCATCAGGGGGAGCTGCAAGCAAGCAACTGTTTTTCCGCGCGGGTGGGAACGCGTCTAAATGAATCTTGTCCAACCCAGGGCCCCGTAGCAAGGTGCCGAGGCTGCAGGAACTGAATTTTTGCTCTATCGCGAGTATGACTAGGCCCCTCCCCGCCCTTCTCCGGCCCTGCCTCCCCGCCTGAGAGCCCTCAGGCCCTTTCCGGTGGCTCGCGGAAGGGGGCGCTGTCTGCGGCGTTGCAGAGGCCCCGGCTGCCTCGGCGACGATCTCCCAGCGGGCTGTGCGGCCCGGCTCTCCGGCGGCAGCGAGTGCCACGTCCCAAGTGCTACGCGGAGGAGCCGAGCGGACGGTGCGCGGGGGGCGGAGAACACCGCGGAGCCCGGCTCGGCCACACCGATCGCCCGCCGCCATGGGCTCCTCGCAGAGCGTCGAGATCCCAGGCGGGGGCACGGAAGGCTACCACGTCTTGCGGGTAAAGGCTCCGACGGCGGCCCGGGAGCGGCGGGATGGAGGCGGGGCCCGGCTGCGGGGAGGCGGAGGCCCCAGTGGGCCCCTTCCCCCGGCAGCCAGGCCAGATCCCGCGCAGAAGCGGCGACCGTGGGCGCTGCCTTGGCCGAGGCTGGTTCCGGAGGCCGCACTCATCCCGCCTCCCTGGGCCGTCCTGGGCCCGAGGTCTACAGGTCTGGGAGGACCGGCTGAATCTGGAGGCGGCTGCAGGCCACTCGGCCAGGAGCCGGCCCGGGGGTGCGGGGGGGCAACCTTGGCTCCTCTTCCTCCTTATGACCTTCTCTGCCCCCGCTCCCTGGTTCTTAGCTTCCAAAGTTAGGTAGGGCTCGGCGTAACGTCTCCAAAGGAGTGATGTGAAGGGAGCTTTACTAGAAAAGGGATCCCGAACCCCGCAGTCTGGAAGCAGGGGAGAGGAGGGGCGGGTGGGATGCGACGGCAGGTGTTAATTCACCGTGGGGTGGTTTGATGTCGAGAAAGGCCAACGAGGCAGGAGACAGAAAACGAAATGACCTAAAATTATGTTTGACAGACTTAAATATACTTGATTTTGACAAGACTTTTTCCTCTCCTGTGTCACTTCTGACCCTTCCAGTCCTCCCCTTCAACATTTCCTGGAGGGGGAACTTCCGTTCTGTTCTTTCTAAGACTGCTGAGGGTGTGGTGATTAAGGTTTAGATCCACAATGGTAAAAGAGGTCATGGAGAGGAATGTTTTACAAATAATCTGGGTAAATAATGGAAAGTAACCTTTGTCACCAGGATGCAGAGAAACATAGTATCTCAAAAGGCGTTAGCTAAGTCCCTCCTTTGAACGGCATGGGTTGTGCAAAGCGTGTGGTCCTTTCCTCGTGGAACCGGGTGACTTGAGAAGGAACATTGATGGTTGTGTGCGGTGACACCTGTGTGAGTGGTAACATGTTGAACTGTCAACAGAGTGGCTCCAGTGCGTAGCACCATTTAGGGACTTATTAGAGCGTCACCAGATTTTAGCTTCTCACAGGCAAGAGCGTTTTCATAGAAAGTGAGAGTGCGCTCCTGGTGCTACCTCCTTTTCTGCCCTGGGTCCTATTCAGGGGTCCCTAACCTATGGCAAGTTGTATAATTATTTCATTATATATTACAATGTAATAATAATAGAAATAAAGTACGCGGTAAATGTAATGCGCTTGAATCATACGGAAGCCATCGCCGTGGAAAAATTGTCTTCCATGAAAACGGACCCTGCTGCCAAAAAGGTTGGGGACCGCTGTCAGAGATAACGTTCTTAAATTACCCAGATATCTGGGTGATAGGGCTATGATAGATCACTTTTCTGATCTTCAGGATTATTTTGTCTGTTGCTTCTTGATTCCACTAAAAATTTCTCTTGAAGTCATACTCTTGATAGGAAAAGGATGATTCTTTTTTCCCCAGAAAGAAAAGGCACTCCTGTTAATAAACCATATTACTTTCCTATTCCCTTCAGCTAACCAAACCCCCAAGTATCACAATGATAGGTAAAATGGAAGGAGAATTGTCATTTCCCAGATGTGAAGTGAAAGTTAGTGGCAATGTCTTTCTATTATCTGGTCTGATTTTGAGTTCTCTGGAGTATATTATCCAGTATTACCAGCTGATTCTCATAATGGCTGATTATAGCCATGAATCCTCGGGGATTTGTGATCTTTTTTTGTAATACATACACTCAGGGAAACTCAGTAAAACACATCAGTGTTAATGACTACCAAAAAGTCTGAGTGTTTGAAAGAAAGCTATACATATCAAAAGGATTCCAAATTAATGACTTCATTCCAACATAAAACAAGTTGAAGTGTATTTTCTTTATATAGGTACACCTCAGCAAATTCATGTTCATACATATTCAGTAGTGCAGATATGTTATTAATCTTTACATCTGATTTTTAGAAACACTAGGGACAACCTTAGTTACCTATCTGCATCTGATGTTGCAAAAGATGAAATAATTCTTATTTAGTTAGAGTTTCATTAGAGGGAGCTTTAAAATAGTAATGATCTAGTTTAAGAGAATTTTGTTTCTGAGTTCCTAACCAACTCTTCCCCGATTCAGTAATTGGCTTCCTTGTCTTTGTTTTTGGAGGGAAAAGTAGCAAGTTAAATCTTAACATGTAAAAATGTCTTCCTTTCTTTTGTTATTGCCTGAATGTACAGCGGTATATTCCACTGCTGGATCACTAAGCTTGTAAACCGGAGTAAATATAGCAGGAAAATCTCGGAATAAAATCACCCATGTTCAGTGAGTTCTTGAATAATTTAATTACAAGTTAGTTTTCTTTAATAACCAATTCCCTGGCCATTTCCTTATTAGTAATAAAAACTCGTATGACTGGGTTTCGAAATACCAGTTATAGTATCAGTTATATCTACTGCTGCTTTATTATTTCACGAGTTCCTATAATTTAGATAGATTGAACTTTTCATTTTTTCATTATTTTTCAATGTCCATTGTTAGGTTCTGCTTTAAAAATCTTTGGGGGACAACCTTGAAATGGATTGAGAAATTCTGCTGTGAACAATGTACTTTCCTTGTTATGTATTGTGTATTTTTGTGTTAATGCATATTTTCATGCAGTTGTGATCATATTGTATACCCAACTCTTTATCCCCACTCCAGAAGTAACCACTGTAGATAGTTTCTCATATAGCCTTTCAAATATGTTTTATGCATATAAAAGAAGCTCTCCCCCACCCCTTCTTTCTTCCTTTTTTTTTGTAATTGTTGGAAACACACACATACTGTTACCCTCCTTGGTCTTCTCAGTTGGTGACCTATCTTGGCAGTCGTTCCATAGCAGCACAGGGATCTGCCTCATGTTTGCAGTTAACTCCGTAGTAGTCTTGTTGTACCACAGTTTGGTTAAGCAGCACCTCCTGGTGCTGAACATTTAGTTTTCCAGTCTTTTGCTGTTATAAGTACATATCTGCAACCTTCAATCCTACTTTTTATTTTCACCTAAAATACACATTGTCCCCAATTATTGTATTTAATTTTAATGTTGTCTGTTTATAGAAATGATCTTCATTTTAGTAAACTACTACGTTGTTTTCTTGTTATCAGCATGTGTTCATTAGAGAACATTTAGATCAGGTTAAAAAGTACAACTAAGAACCTGAATTACCTGTCATCCCACCATTTAAGGTAAATATTATTGAAGTATTTTTCTTATTCTTTTTTTCCTGAGCCTTACATTGATCCTTAAGCCACGTTTCACAAAGATTTTGAAGGATATGACATATTCAAGTACTGTATGGTCAAAAGTTATCACAAGATGTTAGCATTATAACCTAAATTTCCAACGACTGAGGAATTGTTAAATCAATCATGGCCTAACCACAGATTAGAATGCTATACTTTCAGTGGAAATTGTGTTTTAAAACACTCTGTGTATATGCATGTACATTTGAGCGCCCAGGAAAATAAAACTGAAAGGTAATATACCAGGATATTAAAAGAATTATTGGTAAATGGTGACATTTTTATATTCCTTTTAACCTTTAGTATATTTTCTAGAATTTCTGCAATGATCATTAAATACTTGTATAGTCACAAAAAGTATAGTTATGTAAAGTTATTTTTAAAAAGTAGATTCCTAATGGAAGATTTTAAAATTTGTTTAGAAGTCTTCCTTTCAAAATAACATACTTCAGATTCCCTTATACAGTGGGTCTGATTCTATGCTCACCATGAATGCCACTTTTACTTTGGGCCTGTAATATTAACGTGAAGCAGGAAAAATGTTAGGGCTTCTCAATTTTGTTAGAAGTTACTGTAAGTTACCTCCTATAGTTGAAGTATGTTGAATATGGAATTCTTGCCTAGATTTTCCATTAAATATCAAGTAAATACAATAAGACCATTTTCAGAATTAAAGTTTTGGAGTGACCTCATGGATGTCCATTATAAGAACTATATCTAAATTAAAATATTCAAATTAATTCTCTTCTACACTTATAACTCTTTGAGATGGGGGATATCTAAGACATTCTGGAGGCAATGTTCACACCAGTGTGAGGATTTGGAAAATATCATGCTCATGCTTCCTTATAATTTTCTCCAGGAGAGATTTTGAGGTGATGGATGTTTTGAAGGAAGGGTCATTGAGATGAAATGTGTCCCCAGTGTAATAACAGGCTTCTATCTCCAGAGCCATTTGCTGCAGACTGGGCAGCATTTAGGTGCTTTCCTCAGAGGAGAAAGTGAATGCAAGTGGAATTATTTGTATAGAAAATGGAATATATAGACCATATTTACTCTCACATGGAACTGTTCCTTTTTAACAGTGCCTCACTAATGTATATGAAATCCTGTTGTGATGGGATTGCAATTTAGTACTTATTTTGAAAAAGTGAATTTCTGATATTTGATGGTCATAATTTTTTTTTTTATTCTTCTAATACATTGTTTCTCAAACTTTTTAAACTCATACCCTCTTTTGAAAACCATGAAAATCTCACTGTGGCTCCCTTCTCACTCATTCTGGAAACTGTGTAAAAAGAAAACATTTGGATTATTTGATGTTTGCCAATATTATACTTATTACTTATTATATCCTTATTATAGTTGGGAAACCACCTGAAGATTCTGACCCTGCCCCCAAATTGATCTCTTCTTATTAATAAAAGGCCAAGAAGTTATTTATTAAACATTTCTTTGCAATTGCTTTCAAATGTAGAAATCACAATATTTCAGTTTCTTAAAACCATGGAGCATAATGTATACGAACCTCAGGACACTTTGAGGAATTGTAAGTATTATTGAACATAAACTTTTCCTGATATTAACAGGCCTTTAACAAATTAGTTGCATCATGTTTATATATACTTTCATATTTATATGATTAAGTATGTTTTAATTTGTGGACTGTTATCCTCAGAATTCTCATTTGGGGAGACCTGTTCGTGGTTAATTACGGTTTCAGTAAGTAGTAGAGTGCACAGCACTGTTTAT